AACAACCATCATGACAATAATAATGATAATAATGATAATAATAATAATAATAATAATAATAATAATAATAATAATAATAGCTTTAACAAATATGCCACATTAGTTTAAATAATGGGCTATTAGGGCAACATGACTGGAAGTCTTGTCACGTGGATATGACTTATGGTAGCCTACAAACCACTTAAAAATAAAATGTGAACAGCTTTTAAGATTTTTCAATACGATTAACCCTCCTTTCTTGGCATTGTGCTGCAATTACTAAATCAATATACAATTAAGACAGTAAAGAGACCAAAATGTGTTAATTTATGTTGCCTAACAAAACCTATACAACAGAAAACGTTTTTCTTAACACATAGATTTGTACAGAAGAGGATTAGGGCCACTGAAAAAAAAAAAAGTTAACTGATTTTTAAATTTTATTTCAGTTTAACATGGGAAAAAAGTCAGAATTCTGACTTTTTTATTGTCAGAATTCAGTCAGAATTCTGAGATTAAAGTCAGAATACTGAGCAAAAAGTCAGAATTCTCAGCAAAAAGTCAGAATTATGAGAAAAAAGTTAGAATTATGAGATTAAAGTCAGAATTCTGAGTTTTTTCCCATACTAAACTGAAATAAAATTTAAAAATCAGTTAACTTATTTTTTTTTTTTCAGTGGCCCTAATCCTCTTCCATACTGTAGATTTGCAATTGCAAACTCTACCAAAATTATTTGTAGCCTATGTGTTCGTCCTCACGTTATCTGTCATTGACTTGGGCTACAGTGTAAAACCTTCAGAATCAGAATCAGGTTTATTGCCATTGTTAGTGAAGGAGTTCACAAACTAGGAATTTTTTGTGGTACAATCGTGCAACATGAAACATATAATATGGAATACGTATATAAAATTATAAAAATATCTAAAAACTGTGGGTATACGTCATGCAATAAAATAGACTAATGTATACACCTAAGATAAAAAATATGGATACAAAATATAAAAAGTAAAATAGCATCTTACAAGGACACAACTAGTTTATCAGGTGACCAGTCGGCAAAAATGCTTGTTTGGTGCTGCTGAATGAGACATTTTAATGCACAACAAAATGATTGAGCTTGATCTGTATATTACCTGGCTAATGGTGCACAGGAGAAGCAGCCTGTCAGCGACCGTTCCTGCTATCTGAAAACTGCTATGATGCTGCGCATCTGGCATGCCCTGCGGGCGACCGCGCGAGTTCACGTGACAAAGGAAGAGAGAGAGGCTGGTCGGGTGTGCGCAAGGAGGTGGGTCATTTCGGGGCATTGTTTCAGTCGTTTTTAATGGCTCAGGTTTTCAAAAGATCATTTCAAAACCGACCTCAGTAAAATCTTAATAATATTAGTAATAAAAAAAATAAATAAATAAAACAACGAGTTTCAAAAGGGCGTTTTCTTTGATAAAGGGCAAACTTCCTAGTGCTTTAGCACCACCTAGTGTCTATGTATGCACGCCCCTGCTCGATCCGTCCGCCAGCACTCGCTGCCCGACCGCCACTGGTACCACCACAGCCTCTGCTGCTGTTACCGCCCCTTCTGCTGTCGCTGCCACCGCCGCTGTCTTCAGAGTGAACACACTTGGACATTTGTGTACACTCTTTCTTCCTGTAGGCTTTGTTGCTGTGGTTTGTGCTTTTGCAGGAACTGCACTAAACTGTCCTTGTGCATTTATCTTTTCGATGTCCCTCTTCTTCATACTGCCAACGACAAGAAAACGACACCGCTGTGTTGGCGATGTCATTTTCTTCAGTGCTTTCAGCACGTTTTCTCCCGCTATCTCGGCTACCAGCTCTGCATCCTCAGATGCCTCAAAGTTTCGCAGCTTCGCCTTGAACTCTGCCAGTTTCATCTCCGCTGAACCATGGGTTACCATCAGCCTAAATGGTTAATATTTCTCTAGAAGTCCCCTCATAATCATTGCCATCATCAGCCCCTCACTCAATGCCTCGCCTACAGCGCTGTGAAGATCTGCTCTGCCAGGATAATGTACTGTGTCACAGTCTCTGTTTCCGCTTTCTTCAGCGAGGTCAGTTAAAGTATGATGAAACAATCCATGGCCTACCTTTGCCAATGTAGTGCTCTCTCAGCACATGGAGGCTCTTGTGCCCCTTGCTTTTACAGTCTCTGAATATCAGTCCCAAACTAACTTTGTCCAGTAATGGACCTAACGCGCAGTAAGCATGAGCATTCAGCTTCTCATTCTCGCCTCGTTGCTCAACTGTCAGCAGTCCACCAGGCTCGTTCAGAATAGTCTCTTTTAATCCGACACGTTGCATACAACACAGCATCCGTTCTTCCCAGAGTCCATATTCTTCAGCCCTACCATCAAACTTTGGCCACCTTGCCTTTTGAAACACTTGTTTTATCAGGTGCCAAACCAACTGGGCCAGAATACGTACCTACATTATTTCCTAATCTAAGTTCTCCAACAAGCAAAGGAGGATTTATCCAATGGCCAGTTTGGCCAGAACTATTTACTTTTACTTTAGTTTGTCTGAAAATATCAGAAAAAACATGGAAAAAGATTGTTTCTAACGAATATCAAACCATTTGAAGAAGCAAATTGTTACAATCCATGAGGTTTTTATTGCTGCTCGTTCATCAATTTAGAAGTGATTACAATAATTAAAACATCCACAGCAGAATATAATACATAAAATCTGTTGTAAAAACTGGGTGACAGTTACTTTCAGTCATAGCAGGTAAATAGAACATCTACAGCAATCAAGAACAAATTTATTAGTTAGTTTAAAGGAAAATTATGCTTTAAAAAAATCTTTAAAAAGAAAAAACTTACATGTCTAGAGGAGAGACAGATTTCTTTAATACATTATTAAGACAAAGGCTTTTTACCAAATGAAAGCAGGTTCAAACTGATCAGTAAAAATAACATTAATCTTGTTTATCTTTTCACAAAAATATGTTTCATTGTTTTAGGACTTCAATTTACCTGAACTACAGACTCCAGCCTCTAAACTGAGTTCTTTGATGTCCCGTAGTTTAACCCCATAATCCCAGCACCCCCTTTCAAGGTGGCTGGAGCTACTTTGAAACATTAATTAGCTTGTAGCTGACTAACTCTGAGACTGACACACACTTATATATGTCCCAAATCTTCATCTGAGACTCCTCTACAGATGATATACTTCATTTAATATTGGCATTGAGCATATTTTTTTGTGGGCATGGCTCAACAACACACATAGCAGGGCTGATTAATGCATTGCTAATAAAAAGCCAACAAGACAATGCATTAGCAAAACTCTGATCATTTGCAGCTGATCTCTTAAAAAAAAGAGAAAAAAAAGAAAAAAAAATCTATATCTATATATATATATCTATACCTGTATATATATATTAGTGCTGTCAAAATTATCATGTTAACGCAAGGCCATTTTAACGGCGATAATTTTTTTAACATGAGATTAACGCTATGTGGTTTTATGGTACAATTTTCCAAGTACATCCCGCTGCAGCCTGCGGGAAGGCGGGGCTATTTTCCCCCAGTCTATGCATTTCTCATAGGCTTCGAGAGCGGAGCTCCTCAAGGAAAAAAGACGCTCATACACTGGGTGACGCTAGTGCCTTTTCTTTAAGCCCCACCACCAACAAACAAGTTGAGTGTCTGGTAACTAGTAGCAACCTGAAATATGCTGAGAAAACAGATTACTGAGGTGAAATGGAATCTGCTACGGCACTCTTGCTGTCTGTGTACGCCACAGGTCGGTATCATGTGGGTGTGTGTGTGTGTGTGTGTGTGTGTGGGTGGGTGTGTCTGTGTGTGGGTGGGTGGGTGTGTGTGTGTTCTCATTTTTGTTAAGAGGCTGAAAAGTAACTTTCTAGAGCATAGACTACCTCCATCTAGTGATGTCGGTCTATTGATTTTGATGTATTGATTGAAAATTGTTCATTATTACCTTGGTTAATTAACATCTAATGTTAACTGTACTACATTTTATAGCAGTAGGGTAAAATGCTTGTCTTTGTTCAAAAGACTGTATTGACTGTAAAGACTGTCTTTTACATCAGCCTGTTTTCAGGGCCTTTTTTTGGCTACATATTTGTTATTTTTTGCTACATGCCTCCCCATCTTCTTGCCATATGTTTCTATGGCATAAATCAGTGTCTGTGACCTGTTTTCATTAAAAAAAAGAACATTGGCACAAACCTAGCCTGTATGTATTTTTTGTATGTCATCGAGAGTATTTAAATGATTTTCAATCATAAAAAAAATTTGCGATTAAAATGCGATTAATCGCGAGCTAACTCAGGCATTGATGCGATTAATCGCGATTAAAAAAATTTAATTGATTGACAGCACTTATATATCTATATCTATATATATCTATATATATATATATATATATATATCTACAGTATATATATATATATATATATATATATATATATATATATATATATATATATATATATATATATATATAAATATATATATATATATATATATATATATAGATATAGATATATAGATATATATATAGATATATATATATAGCTTATCATTCAGCTAAAGGTTTCTTAGTCCCAAAAATAAAACTTTAGGTTTTTGTTTTTTTTATTATAAATTCATTTAGAAAAAAATGTGCCAAACTGTCACAGTAGGGGTTGGTCTGGATTCTTTCTCAAATTAAACTTCTATAAGTTCTCAATTACTTGTTGTATGGCCAGCAAACTTGCTTTATTACAGAAAAAGCAAGAAGTTGTGAATATAAACTTTGTTTTGTTAGGCAGGGTTTATACAGGAATGAGTAACACTAATTTATGCTTTTTAATGCTCTTAGAAACAAAAGGGCAATAGTGGCGTCGGGTGTAGGAGGATTCACAGTTCAAGCCCCGGCTCCGACTTTCAGTGTCATTGTGTCCCTAGGCAAGACACTTCACCTGCATTGTCTACTGATGGTGGTCAGAGGGCCCGGTGGCGCCAGTGTACGGCAGCCCCGCTTCTGTCAGTGAGCCCCAGGGCAGCTGTGGCAGCTTACCACCTTGAGTGTGTGCATGAATGTGTGAATGACTTAATGTAGTGTAAAGTGCTTTGGTCAAGTCTCCTGACTTGGAAAAAAAAAAGCGCTATATAAGTACAGGCCATTTAGTTTGTATGTAAAAGGTTTCTCATGCAATGAAGCAAAGGGGTTTCTAAATGGATATTTTATCACCAGTCAAACATGGAAAACGCTTCTACTGTTCATTTCTGTGGCGTCTAACTGCTGCCACTTCAGTGAAACAAATGTTCTTCTTATATATAAATCATTCCACGTCATGCATGAATAAATGTCATCTGAATATTCATATTACCTTCTCATCTAAAACCTAAAACAGCTTCTCATCTGTGTGAATTCTCATGTGTCCAGTCAAATGATGTTTTTGAGTAAAACTTTTAACACAAATCGTGCAGGAAAAAGGCTTCTCACCTGTGTGAGTTCTGATGTGTTTATCAAGATCAGATTTCTGATTGAAGCTTTTTCCACAGGACAGACATTCAAAAGGGTTTTCACCAGTATGAATTTTCATGTGAGTAGTTAAGCTATATTTTACCGTAAAATTCTTGTTACAAATAGTACAAGTAAAAGGTTTCTCACCTGTGTGGATTCTGATGTGTTTATCAAGATCAGATTTCTGAGTGAAGCTTTTTCCACAGGACAGGCATTTAAAAGGCTTCTCATCTATGTGAATTCTCATGTGAGTTGTCAAACAACTTTTGACAGTAAAATTTTTGTTACAAATGGTACAAGAAAAAGGCTTCTCACCTTTGTGAATTCTATTGTGTGTATCAAGAGTAGATTTGTTAGTGAATATTTTTCCACAGGACAGACATTCAAAAGGTTTCTCACCTGTGTGAATTCTGATGTGTGTATCTAGATTAGATTTCTGGGTGAAGCCTTTTCCACAAAACAGACATTCAAAAGGGTTCTCGCCGGTGTGAATTCTCATGTGAGTTGTCAAACTACTTTTTACAGTAAAATTCTTGTTACAAACGGTACAAGTAAAAGGCTTCTCACCTTTGTGAATTCTGGTGTGTGTATCCAGATTAGATTTCTTAGTGAAGCTTTTTCCACAGAACAGACATTCAAAAGGCTTCTCACCAGTGTGTATTTTGAGGTGTGCATCAAGATTAGATTTCTGAGTGAAGCTCCTTCCACAGGACGGACATTCAAAGGGCTTCTCACCTGTGTGAATTCTCATGTGTCCAGTCAAATGACCTTTTAGAGAAAAACTTTTAACACAAATCGTGCAGGAAAAAGGCTTCTCACCAGTGTGAGTTCTAATGTGTCTATCAAGAATAGATTTTGTTGTGAAAATTTTTTCACAGGAGAAACATTCATAAATCTTTTGACCTGTGTGAGACCTCATGTGAATCATTAAATGCTCTTTTTTTGGAAAGTTTTCTCCACATGTCAAACATGGTAAATTTTCCTTGCATGTATCTTCTGTCTCTTGCTTCAGAACAAGCTGCTCTTCCTGCTCACTTATGGGGAGCTCCATGGTTTCCTCTTTTGTCCAGGAATGTTCTGGTTCTTGCTGCTCTTCTTTTATCTGCAGAGGTTCTGGTTCCTCTTGGTCCAAACTGGAATTCCTCTCCTGTCTACAGAGCTGCTGGTCAGAGAAATCCTCATCTTTTCCAACATAATCCTGAAGGGGGTCTGAAAAGACAAAGACAGCAGAAAGAATTTGTATAGGTGGTTAAATAAAGGACACTTCACTTTAATCATCATTGTGTTGATCTATCTAGATAAAAACACCCTGGAAATAAATTTTTCTGTAAGGCAACATAAATCAATGTGATTATCACAAATCAAGTATTTATAATTTTTGAAGAAAGAGATCTTATATTAAATGAACCACATTTAATCTTTTTAACTTTTCCCCCAATTGGAGTTATTTTTGTTTTTATTAGATTATCATGATTTAGTCCTTTGGGCAGTGGTTCCCAAAGTATGGGGCGTGCCCCCTAGGGGGGGCGCAATGCCATTGCAGGGGGGGCGCGGGAAGCGGTATGGATGAATGAAGAAAAAAAAAAAACAGTGCTTGCTTGACTGAGCATAATGGACAGTTGTGACACTGCAACCCAGATTTGAGAAGATCTGCAGCAACAAGCAGGCTCACTACAGCCACTGAAAAGATGGGAGGATTAAGGCCCCGTCCACACGAAGTCAAAACGAACACGAAACGCTAATATTTTCCAGAACGTTTGTCGTAAAGACGGAGACGTAAAATAAATGTGATCGTCCACACGAATCCATGAAAACGCTGCAAAATGTATGCCAGGCCTATAAGTGGCGCTGTGGTGCCAAAGCAAAAATAGGCGACGAAATGTTGGGCATGCGCACTAATATTTATACATGGTTGACCTGCGGGTCCATTTTCGTGGTTCAGTTAAATTCAGGTGCTGAACTATGTGGTCGATATTGCTCTGTTCTTCCTGGAGATATTCCAGAAGAAGAAGATTCTGTTGTAAGCCCGACAGCAGGGTGAGTAGCATGAGCAGCAACCATTCAACACAGTACGGCACCATTGTTGTTGTGATACTGTGTCGCGAATGCGTGTTTAGAGGCGACGCTATGACGCATGCGAGTAAAAAAAAAAATGCGGTTAGAGCTTAAAGATGGAAACGCGAAAACGGCGTTTCAAAATCTTCCCACTCTGAAGGCTGAATAAAAAAAAGATCGTTTACAGACCCCCGAAACCCCAGCTTCGTATGGATAAGAGGCTGGTTTGGTGAAAAATGTGTGCGTTTAGGCCAGGGTTTGACTTCGTGTGGACGGGGCCTCAAGTACAAAGAAAAAACTCAGGGAGCTGTTCAATGTTTTCACTCCATTTTGCACAGAGGCTTTCTTAATGTATTGATGATAGCAAAGTTAAATATAGTTACAAATTAAAAAATATATATTATTTTTTTAAACTAACACAGACAACAAAGAATCCTCTTCTAATCTACAGTATAGAACTATGAAAAAAATACAGTTACACAAAAGTGTTCCACTGGAAAGATGGTGTAGTTTGTTTTGTTGCAACCTGAAGTGTGAAATAAACTTCAGTGGAGTTTGAAAACAAAATATGTGTATAGGTTTATTATATCTGGTTGAACGATGTGTGTGCCCAGTTGATTTTTTTGTAGCATTCGCTGCAGGGCCAGCAGGTTCTGTAACAGCTTTTCCACCACTGCCATCACACTAATGAACTGTTGAAAAAAACTGTGAATCAAGTCACAAACCAGGACTCCAAATATAACTCAACTCAAAAATGTTTTTCTACTGCATTTTTGCACCATATACCACCATTTGCTTCCATATCAATGCGTTTTTACACCATATTTTCTCTCCCACACTGTTTACATCAGATCACAGCTGCACTTTATGAAATGGAAATGTTCATGTCACTACCAAGCTGCTGCATATTTACTGTCTGAAAGCTGCATAAAACCAAATTTTGTTTTGTATACACAGTACATATACAAAAGGAGAACAAAGTTGTCTTGTTTTAAGTCTAAGTGCACAAACAGTGGGTTTTTTATGCAGTGTGAGAGCTTTGTTGCGATACATTGTCGATGAAACTAGAACTACTTCTCTGAAGACACATCCCTCCGGCATAGGTTTTTAAAACACTAACTTCCCATATTAGCTTCCTATTTTGCCAGTGGCATTGTGCCGCTAAAAGGCTAGGCAACGCGCTCCCAGCTGAAGGCTACGCTACATAGCAACCAAATCCCTCCGGAGAAGTCTGCGCTTGTTGGGCCGAGTCAGAATGCCTTTTTCCTGCGATTCAGAAGGAGCTGAACGCAGTGTTTTTATTCTTCCAGCGATTCAAGCCGAGTGAACGCAGTGTATCCTGAATCCGGCTGCAGCAGAGACAGAGAAGAGCTATTCGCTGTTCGCCGAAGAAGCTGTTAGAAGCTGCCAGACCGTGACTGCCTGGAACGGAGCAGTGCCAAAGCAGTGCTACTAAAAGCTGAGGCTACAAGCTTACCACCGTAGCTAAAAGGGAGACGTCCGTGCTACTGTGAGTTATAAAATTAACCCCCTTGCAAATCACCTCTTATTATTGCATCGGATTGATCCAAATCTCTTTGAGTTGCTGTTGGACGAACGGACTGGACCAAAGAATGGACTGCAGAAACCGGGCCGAGTCGAAGGCCTTCACGCTACCGTACCAAAAACAGTAACGGCATTTCCCCCTCCTTTCCATCTGATGCTTAATAAGTCCTGTGCTTAGGTGAACTAGGTAGAATAGATAGTCGTGTTGGTGATTTTATTTGAAATAATCTTTCTGATTCAACTGCTGATGGTTACAGGTTTAACTGAATGCTAATGCTCATCACAGATGAGAGTCATGTGTTGCTGAAGCTAAATTCTACGTCATGAGCTAACCTTTTGTTTGTTTCAGTATGACCCGACCAGAACCAGAACCCTTGGGGCCAGCTAAGCTAACAGGTCTTTCAGCCTCATCATAGTTTAATGCATTCCTGAGTCACTAGTCATTTTCCACCTAAACTGAGTGGTTGTTGCAGCCCCTGAATGTAGTTGCCTTTATTGAAAATTAATGGCCTGTTAATTAATTTTTGGCACCCACCGATCCAGGTATTGATCATCTTAACTTCAGCAGGTTGTTTGTTTCTGTAGTTGCTGTTATTCTGATAGAACTGTAGAACTAAGTGTGAATTGATTGCAGCACAGATTTCTTAGAGAACAAAACCCCATCTGGTGTTCAGTGTACTTTTCTGCTACAGGTAGCCTCCAGACAGGAACCCAATCAGCCAATCTGTTCTCAGGTAATGATAATCTTTGTAATGCCCATTTATGCCACTTGGTGGCGTGAATGTGTCAGCACACTTTTAATTTACCAGGTTAAGGCCCTCTGTCTCCCCCTGGTGGATGCTCTTTGAATTACAGCTATATTTTGTCTGAGTCTTTTCTTTGTTGATAAACTGTGTTTAAGAGATAATTTTAGAGTGGTAGTTTTAAACTTTAGCTGTCAAACCTGCGTTAATCATACAGCCTATCTGCCAGTTTTGCCACTTCTGAGCAGATATCCAAACACTGCATTTGTCTTTTGTGTGTTTGTTTGACAGTTGTTCCATACACAAGCATTATTGCATTCAGCTAATTCAACCTTCTGAAAGGTTAGTGATCTAATCATCCATCAGGAGCTTTTAGAAGTTAAAGAAAACATTTGTATCTATCTAAACCTGAAACGAGGTGCAAGTCACACGTTGAAAGATAACCTGCGCATCGTGATTGTTCGCACGTTTTGTACACCTGCCGTATAGGTAAACAAACCTACAGCAAACGGAGTGTGTCAGCTTTTATGCGTATAGTGGTAACAGGGTTAGCGATTTGTAGCCTGTGTTCTACGGTTTCCTGCTTCATCCTCCCTTCTCTGAATCTTGGGTTCTCAAAAGACCATGACTCACAGGTACAGGTTAACATGTTTTCAGACTGCAGAGCTTCTATATATCTTGAAATTGTGTTTCTGGCATCATTATATTAGTAAATAAGTTCATAAATCTTTTTAAACAGAGCACAGAGAGAAGTAGGGAGAGCTGCAGATTTAAAGGTGAAACACATTTACTGGGATATGCAATACGCAATAAAATATATCTCCAACCACAAAGTTTACAACAAAAAAATATGCTATTCTACATTTAAAATGCAGCATATCCACTTTTATTTCTGGACGGAATTGAAATTTTACTTCTAGGGATGCATGATATATCAATTTTAGCATTGGAATAAGCTCTTATCAATTATTTTTTCTTGCATTGATGTTTTTGGGCCCTATATTTGTAATGAACTAAAATACATCTCTCTAACATCTATAAATATATGAGTGTGGTGTGGTCTTGTGTTCTCATATTTATTGAATGGGAAAGCATTCAATAAATATGTTTGGGCTAATTGTTGGAAATTAGCCTAATGAAAGTGTAACTGTAGCTCCATGAGCCCACACCCAAGTGTCCCCACCAACTTTCATCACAAACTTACACCCTTGCGTTCATTTAGACATATCCAGCTAAGCACTGCTCTAAATAAAGATTATTAGATTATACCAAATATGATCCCGCTCATGGAATTACCCCATTTACACTACCCTTGAAAAACCGATCCAGGCCAAACCGGTCCGAGCTCTGATCAGTTAACCAGGCCGAGCTCGGTTCTGACGACCGTTTACACATCACGCTATCTCGGTTCCTCGCCTCCTAGTGACGATCTGCGGTATTACTGCCAGTATTGAAGGAGGAAATCAAGCAGTTGGTGGCGGTAATGCACCCAAAGTTGTTTGCCAACCACCATAAAACACAAGAAGACGAAGAAGACGAAGAAGCAGAGAATCAAGAAAATCAAAATGGCGGCGCCCGTCACATTCAGAAAGTTATGCTTGAATATTATTGCTGTACTTCGGTGTTATTATTTAAAATGCCATTATTTAAAATGTTGCGTGGTGAAGATTTTGATTGTTGTTTATAGTTGAAGAAGAAGTTGTTCTTCTTCTGTTTCTGGAGGAGCATTACCGCCAACTACTGGAATGGAGTGTGAATCGGGATGTGCAGCCAGACGGAGATGACGCGTTC